AACGAAAAAAAGAAACAAGTTAGCCCAAGCTTCAAAAAACAGCACAGTTTATCATGAAGCCTCTACATTTGGCACTGAAGAACTCATGTCCAAAAATAATAACAGCTTATCAAGTCGTAAAAGTGAGACTCAAGTGGTACAAGATTGACTCAAATGATAAATGGTGAATAGTTTAACTGCTGAAACTGTAGAAAGGGGGCCGGGCTAACTTTTAGGGCCTGTTTACATGAAGGAAGGGGACCCCAGGTAGGAATGGTAACCCACTTAGGTGGGGTAACCCGCCTGTCCATATAATCTCTCATTTTTATTTGATCACGTTTACATGATAGGTGGGGTCACCCTTCAAGGTGTGTAGCCCGGTCTACCACACCAGGTAACCCTCTCAGCTGAGGTCAAATTTTGCCATGTCAACGTTTCAAGGTGAGAAAACCCAGGCTAGTAGGGGTCGGATTCGAGATACATCAAATTCGCGCAAAATTCACTTTGGCGCTGGGTGGCTTCACATAATTATTAATATTAAAGGTAACAATAGAAAGCCACAACACTGAAGGTTGCAGCAAGAGCAGCAATTGAGCGTAGACGTGGTTTGCCAGCATTTTTCTTGTTTACATGGTTAGCTACCATTCATATAATCTTGAGAAACTGCACCCCAGGATGGCGGGGTTGTAAGATTGCATGTAAAGGAGGGTTATTTCTTTACCCTACCTAAGCAGGTTACCTCACCTACCTAGGGTCTCCCACCTTTATTTTAACAGGCCCTAAGTCTCAGGAACCGTGAAACTGGTAATAAACGGTATACCTAATCCGGGACTAGCTGTGATACTACCGGCCATCTTCAAGAACGTCAGCATAGCAGCCAAAGAAGCCATTATATCGGTGTTAAACGAATATTAGATTGCGGTTGTTTCATGCGTCTTGTTTTGTGACTATTGCTGTGTTCGTTTTTGTCACCATCTCTAAATATCAATCATGTTCAAAACACCCCTACTAACAAAATATTTCGTAAAGCTCTTTAGAATGATATTCAGCAATAAAAACAAGGTGTGACCAGGAGCCGATTTCTAGGCTCCTGGTGTGGCAACATAGGCATAAGTGAATGCAAAGTTTTGCAGTATGTAATCTGTCAATATCTGTTTGAGTGGTCAAAGTTGGGGCTGATGGGCTTCTTTATCATGACCACTCCATTATTATAAGGGACCAGGCCATAATTATTGTTTACCCTTGCTTTTTTGGTATTTTATGTAATTTTCCATAGCATTATTTTGTGAAAAGCTGGTAACTGAATTGCTCTTGAGGAATTCATGATCGTAAGATTTCGTAACCACGGGGTATTCGCCCAATTGCATCAAACAAATTACATTCATTTTCATAAATGATGCACCATTGGTTGGCTAAAAGAGGCCTTGTTCCTGTAAATTTCAGCTCTTCTGAAGTTAGTTTGTTTGTAAATTGTAACGCACGCGACGACCTTCCTTTTTTTTTGAAAGATCGTCTAGACGTACCATTAACACTCTGGTCCAAGGGCTCTGAAGTGAATGAGCCGCTTACAGGTGTATAGGCATGCAGGGATCTCATACACTTATTTTTAAATGCAAATGTGCAAAAAATAAAGAGTGTTAAAAATTCCTGGAGAGGCATGTTTTACAACCTCGTCCCCAGGGCTTAATAAAAAGGTAGAAAAAGGTAAAGCGACCATATTTTACGTCAATAACTCGTGACAGTAATAATAAGTGATAAACTTGAGGTCGACGGTGCGCTCCTTTTACCCCCCTCTCTCCATTAATTCTCCGTTTTAAAGGTATTTAAAGATAGTCAAAGCTACACAGAAAAAAGAGAAGTTGAAATAAGGAGGTGTTGACACCGGGTTCGAACTCGGGACCTCTCGCCCCGAAGGCTGCGCACTACCCAACTGTGCCACCCTTGCTCCTCCTTTTCCCCCTGAGGACGAGGTTGACATGTTTTAATCATTATCTCAAGGACAGGGTTACCAACGAAGCAAATTATAATCTAATCTTAGCTGCACAATTACAAAGTTGGCGCGTTGTCAGTTACGGTTCATGAGGTCGTTCATGTGGCATGTCAAACTTAACGATTCTATCGTTTAGGATGTGATACATTTGAGTTTTATGTTATTGTATGACATCTTTGAAAGCTGGCTTTGTGATCTGTTTAAATTGATATGTAATGATATTACCACTGGCAAGTCTTAGCAGTGACACTGATAGCCGCACAGTCCGCACAATGAACATGGCCACACTTACCGTGTGGAGACTGGGCACTAGTCAGTATTATGTACATGTAAAACTATTTTGAATAGTGTAACAACAACTAAACGTTACCAAATTAAAAACTTAAAAATTTGCAACAAATGTTTTTTAGCCAAATCAAACAAGAAGAGTACTCACCACAGGACACCCAATCTGCTATTATAGGAGAAAATTAACCCCCCCTTTATCTGTAATTAGGACCATTCGTAACGGGCACCCCCTCCAGTATTAATCGGTAGGTGCTAAGAAAGCTCTGTGCCAAATTTGACACTTTTGTCACGTCTGTAACGATCCGGCCTATATTTTGCACTAAGAGACCTGACTACTAGAAGAACGATGGACGATTACAGAAATTCACCGACAATCAAATTCTGTGCTGACTTATTCCCTACTCACAGATATCCTTCCGCTATAAAGGTTAAAATAAGACTAGAATGCGCGAGCGTGAATTGATCAAACGTCCTCTTAATTTCCAAGGCTTACTTTCCGGCAAATAAAATGAACTGAATGTAAAAAGTGAAAGTGAAATAGCGAAAAATCAACTTCTAATTAAATCTTTTCTTATGGTTTAGAATAAACCATTCTCGAAACTAAGAATGCTTTGATCAAAGCTGTGTAAATCGAACTGAAACTATGCATTGAACCTTGCGTTTTCTGTATTTATGTCACCTATTGTATGGAATATGTGTGAAAATCTTCATTATGACTGGGGATATTTCAAAGAGCTACACAACGACTAAGAATGCTATTGACCGACAATATACAGAGCGGGGGCAGCTGTAGTGTCAACTATTACTAGTGTATCATTAATTTCGACAAACTGAGATCGACCAGACAGATAAGAATGAAACCACTGCAGAACAGTTCCCGTGATGCCAAACGAGTTCTTCAGACGCGAAAGTAGTAAAGAATGATTAACCGTGTCAAATGCCGCTGACAAGTCTAGTAACAATAGGAACACATTGTCTCTCCTGTCCAGTGAAAGTAAGATGTCATCTGTGATCGTTAGCAGTGCGGTCTGTGTACTGTGGTGCGCTTTGTGCACAGATTAAAAACGTTCGTGCAAGCTATTAATCGTAAGATAATTATTCAACTGCGCAAATACAGACTTCTCTATCAGTTTTGGAAGAAACTTCAAATTGGACACCGGTCGGAAGTTGGAAAATTGCTCACAGTCAACATTCGATTTCTTCAGTAGCGGCCGCAGCGAGGCAATCTTAAGATCCTCTGGTATCGATCCAGTCGACAGCGATAGACTGATTACTGTTTTGAATGCCGTGACAAGAGCCGAATGGCAACTTCGCATCATGGTTGCTGGCAGGGGATCAAGGTTACAAGCCTTGATAGTGTAACTTCAGATCAGTTTCAAGACGTCCTCATCTGTGACCAAATCAAACTCACTTAACCGTGACAGGCAGGTGGGCTTCGCCAGACTAGGGGAGTGAACAAGTCCACTTTTCCTAAGTACAAGCTCTTCACGAATCCTTTCTATCTTGGTAGTGAAAAAATCTGCAAAAGCAATTGCAAGTTGTTGATCACTATCGGCGGAAGGATAATGCTTTCTCAGTTTGCCTTTGCAGTAGCTTATCTATAGATCGAAATAGGAGCCTGGTATCATGGGCGTTGTCCTGGATAACCGACGAATAATAGAATTCCTTGGCTTTGTATAGCATTGCTTTCACAACACGACATTGCTCTGGGTAGCTCAATCTGTCCGACTCAAGACGGCTAGAGCGCCACCTGCCCGGCTCTAACCTGCGCCTCTTCCTCTTCTCATTGCCAATGTCCTCGTTATACCAGGGGGTTTTTGGACGAAGGACGATGGTCCGAGATTTCACCGGAGCCAATGTATCCATGGTATCACGCAAGAAGTTATCATACCTATCAACCAGCAACTCCAGGGAGAGATCACTGACATCTGCTGACAGGCCTGACGAGATAATCATCTCATTAAAGGCCTCAAAATCAAAGTTCATGAGCCTGCGGCTAACAACAGACTTTCGCTCATTGAGCGGTTTCTGAAGATTCAGCTGAAAGCAATTAGCTTTGTGGTCAGAAAACAACAAGTTCATTGACTTTTAAAGCCTCCACGTCCTTCCTAGAGATAACAAGATCTAAAATATGACCACTCCTATGGGTGGGAACAGCCACAGGTTGTTTGAGGTTAAACACTTCCAATAAACTGCCAAACTGTGCCGCGTATCTGTCAGCCGTATCATCCATGTGGGGAACTGATGGCGACTTTACTTTCCTTGAATTAATGAATTGAGTTTCCTCATAGAGGATAAACACTTTTTACTTTTTACGTTTGAATGATTTAAGATTGCATTTAGCCATTCAAAGTGATGACTGCCTTTATAACCTATTATTGAAGTACAATGGGCATTCAATTCAAACGTGAAGCTTTAATGTTATTACTTATTTTCTCTCCCAAACCCGGCATCAATTTGTCCATTTGTCAATTATTCAACATTTTCAAAAAAAAATGTCACGTGACATATCACGTGACTTACCGACACAATATTTATACTTTAAAATGCTAAGGACGGTGGGCTATTTGTGTGTCAAATTTCGATTCAGTTCCATCCTCTTCGCCGAAGTTATAAGCAATAAATCATTTTCGACAGGTAAAACCATTGGACCCAGGCCTAAAAGTACATGAGTATCGTTAATGAACAATATCATTTTCTTCATTCAGGAATACACGAGTACGAGCTGTCGTATCATCACCTGTGTCTTGTCTTTATTGTTTTTACCTTTCCCTGTACTGAAGGCAAGTTCCCTAGAGTTTGTACATCCCTGACGAGTCTGAAAAACAAGAAATGTTGTCCAATCCCAAAAGGCTTTAGCGCGCCATGCAGTAACGATGGAAACAGAGGTACATGCCAGGAATTGATCATTCGTGATTGCCTCTTCAAGTACAGTCATTACCAACCTTTCCAGAAAGGCGACGAGCGCCATAACTGGCCTCATGCTCTTTACCATAAAACGTGCAAATGTAATTCAAACTTCGCTGGATATGACTACAGCAAGTGCGAGTTTGGCTACTATGGCAAAGACTAGGCACAGAAAAAGACCCTGAATCGCAAAAATTTCCTCAAGTTGTCAGCCCAGGAGAAGGATCAATACATGAGGTACATCAACATGTCCAGGTACTGCATCAGCAATTATGTGGTGACTTTGACCCATATGAAGAGATCAACAAAACCTTCATGGCCAACCGCGACCCAACAGCACTCTTTCACAACATCAGCAACTATGACTTGTTCGTGTGGATCCACTACTATGCTGCACGAGACACCATTTTCCCACATAACATGACACGGGGACATATTGACTTTGCGAATGACGTGCAGGGGCTTCCTACGTGGCATCGACTGTATAATACAGTAGAATAGGTCCTTAATAAATAAATAAATAAATAAATAAATAAATAAAGTTTTAGAGGTAGCAATTCCAATAATCGAATCGAAATTTGGAAATGTTGGTTTTTGAAGAGAGGAGAAAACCAGAGTACTTGGATAAAAAACCTCTCAGAGCAAACCAGAGAATCAACAATAAACTCAACCCACATATGTTAAAAGTGCTAGCTAGTCCAACAAGTCTGGAAAGGCTATTAGAATCTCAAAGGTTTGGCTACATTTTTGCTATTTTAGCCTAAGGTGGCTGAACACAGTTTTGTTAGCTGTCAGCGGTAACTCGCGTGATGGCGCGTGTTTTAAATTGGACAAACAAACATGGCTGCGAAAAAGCAATGGTACGCAGAAAACGATTTCTCAAAATCTACTCATTGAAATTTTCTGATATTTTACTTTCATCGTATTTTAAATAACGAGAATTTTAAAATGGAAGTTGAATAGACGAATTTTGTCAAACATTTAATAATTACAGTGTAATTATATTATTGATTATCTAAAAACTGTTCTGTTAAAATTGGGTCAAATAAGTCTCAAATGGTGATGATTAATTATAGTAAGCTGTGTGCAAGGTCATAGGAAAATCTAATGAACGAAGTTTATGTAAACTGAGCAAAAGTGAAATTTCATCCGTGTTGCCATGGAAACTACGAAAAAGTCAAATTTTACCTTTCAATCAAAATCTTTCAGCAGTATATTTTTCACTTGGCATGTTTTAGCTTGTGAGCTTCAACCTTTCTCTTGCCATGGTTTGGCAAAATACATATCCTCACAAACTGCCAAAACTGTGTTCAGCCACCTTAACTATAACCTGCATAGCAGGCGCCTGGAAGTAATGGGCTCAAGAAAGAACGGGGCGCGCGAGGGAAACACGCCACTTCCTATCCCCTCGCGCGCCCCGTTCTTTCTTGAGCCCATTACTTCCAGGCGCCTGCTATGTTCTTTTCCTGCGCCGTTACTTCCAAGCGCCTGCTACGCAGGCTATCTTATTTATAACTATAATCAACCTCTGGCCGCAATTAATCGGCCACTAGCAGCCTTGTATTCAGCATCAATAGAAAACAAGCTCAATCCCAACTGTAAACGCTTACTGTCTAAAACAGTTTGGAAGTGAATTGTTTTGGTAAAAAATACGTTCCTTAAATAAAAAATATATATCATATACAGTTTTTAATTTCCTTGCGCTGACACGAAAAGTTCTCTGGTATGTTGTAAAGACTGTGAACACCTATCCGATATGTAACTTACTCTCCACTTTAGGGATCGGCGCAGCGCAGTTTCGCTCCGTTACAGAAATCGCCCCGAAAAGAAACCACTGTTCTTATTATTGAACAGAAGCCCTATCTGGTATGATTTTCATGCCGGCGCAAAAGCCCTCCGGTATTAATAGTAATGTGGACATTAAAGCCAAACTTACGCCGTCTGCCGGACAAGTAGAATCCGATGCAGTAACTGTCATGCGAGCAAATGCGTCTGAGTTTATGTCCTTCGACCACTCGATACCAATGTATAGCCATTTCAAAACCAACTTCACGGCATTTAAGAGACTGTTCCATGCTGATGCGCGTGCTAACCATGTGGAGTTGTTTCCTGCCGCATCTCGCTGGATGATTTCTTGTTTGGCTGCGGTAGGATGTTTCCATGACTTGTTGATCATCATCGATGAGTCAGTTTGTGGTTGGTTTGTATCAACTATGTCCATTTGTTGTTCCTCGTCTATTTCCGACTTTAGAGAAGAGAGACAAACCGTCGTTGACTTATATTAGCCTAAAAAACAGCCTACGTTTTAGGCTCGTTTTGCGTTTTCCCTCGTAATATGTTGTCTGTCTCAGAACGAACGCTTACATTCTATCAAAACGCAAGGTCGCTTGCAACTCATTAAAAGCCGTCGTTTACGTTGTGAAACTCTAGCACCGTTAATTTGCTTCTGTTTTTATATACTGCATTTCTTTACTTTGCTCTAAACTTACTTCATCTGCTTCCAAAGTCTTCAACAACAGTAAAGCGTCGATAGAACGGTTCTTCAGAAACGCTGATTCCTGCATTTGAAGGCAATGAAAAGCGGATAAATATTTTAAATTTATTTCGTGAACCGCTCAAATGCTGCTGATCAGTATAAACCGTGTGAAAGTGTCTGCTAATACTTAAATTGAGCCTTAAAATCCCACGGCTACAACTAGATTTCAACAAAGCTGTTAAAAAAGTTTTGAAAAGTGTTTTTAAACTTTGTGGAAACAAATAACGGAACTTGACTTCGTAAGTAACTTCGATTGCGCGCGCCAGAATTGCTTTCGATCCTTAGAAACAAGTAACCAAGGAAACAAAATCGTCTAAACAAATAACATTTTAGTTTCAACTGGTTGAGGCCAAGAAGAGAAAATTTCAAGACAATCAGACAAATTCAATCCTAAACAAATTAAAGAATCTCTAACCTACTTTTGAATGAAAAGCTAACGCAGTAGTTTGGTAACTTAAAGGCAAAAGCAAAGTTAGCCTGGGAAAATAAAGATTTTTGCTACAAGCTTACGCCATCGAGGAAAATAACACGAAGAGAGCGGATGTGAAAATAACACAATTTTTACCCTCCTCGCTGAAATTTCCTGAAGCAGTCCAAGTTCCTAACATTGTTAGGAGGAAAATTATGTAGATTAAAAACGTTTTCATTTTGTCAAGAATAACTTTTCTCTTTCCAAAGCGCAACACGACTAAACTCGTTTAGCGACCTGGAACGATTAAAAAACCCGACGTCATAAAGACAAAATAGAACGTTTTCCTGCGCGCGTAAAGGTTATGGAACACTCCTTTATCCTCCTATATATTGCATTACATTGACATCAATTCCAACTGTTCATTTTGTTAACAACAATGACTCGTGAAACGTTACTCTAAGGGCTTCATTTACGCTAGAGTCGATTTTTCCGGTTTCGTCAAGAATATGGAAACTTCAGATACCGGATTCGTTGTAGAGTTTACACGCAGATCCCCGACGCACGCGGGGCACTACCTGGCTTTATTTGGCCTAAGTGGGTTTGTACTACTGAACAGGGTATTGTTTTCTTTCATAATCTTGAGTCTTAAACAGGGTATACAATTTCACTATTTATAAATTAGCGTTTTCGAAGAGAGTGTCTTTTTGGATCGGAAGCCTTTCCAAAGAATGAATGCGACGGTTTCGCGATGAATTAATCTCCGTTTGTGCTACCAACTATGTTTATTCCAAAACATCTAATTCCAATGTTATTTTGAAAAATATTTCGATTCTGTATGCGAAAAAAAGAACGAATTGGTGTCATAAAATAGGGTCTCCTTTGCTAAACAGGGTTGTAAGCTGATTTTTGATGGGTGACGGTCAAATTTGGAAATAATATAAATAAATAAATAAATAAATAAATAAATAAATAATGATTTGGAGGTAGCACATCCACAAAGTGGTTCTTCTTCTGGCCTGATTCCTAGTCGAATTGAAATTTGGAAATGTTGTTTTTTGAGAAGAGGGGAAAACTGGAGTACTTAGAGAAAAACCTCTCGGAGCAAAGGAGAGAATCAACAACAAAGAGTGCGTTTCTTTGGGAGAATCCAAAAACAGATTTGTGATCTCAGTTCATACGGATTCTCTAATAACAAAAAAACGAAAATCCGAAAAAGGATCATTTACCATGACAACGGCATGTCCTCGTGCTCCTCGTGGAAAAAAAAAACAAAAACAAAACCCATCATCACAGCGCAGACAAGAAGAAAAAGCAACATAAGCTACAAATGAATATACGAAATGTTTATAGTTTGAAACACACTACTTAGGATAGTAAAATTGTACGGAATTTAAAACTAAAACCGATGAATTTTTTTTAATTACTTGGAAAATAAACCGGCGTAAGCAGACACTACATACGTACAAAAAACATGACAAGTAAGGGTTTAAAAACAGTCTACCAATAATTTTAATAGATGACAAACATGGAGTGATACTAACTAACAAATTAAAATCAATAACGCGCCACCAACATAGGTTTGGTTAGAATGTCATACATGTACGGCATCTGTTACGTACCATTTTTTCGAAAAACCGCTTGTCAAAAGTACCTTTCTCAAATCCTTCCCCCCCCCCCCCCCCCCCCCCTAACAAATTAAAACCAAAAACGCACCCCCAACAGCGTTTTTGTTAGAAGTTAATCCCTTTACGGCATCTCTTACGTACCCTTTTTTCAAAAAACCGCTTGTCAAAAGAACCTTTCCCAAACCCTCCCCCCCCCCCTCCCCCCCCTCTTAAAAAAAAAACGCTCGGATTGTGAATCTCAAAAATCGGGATTTGGATTTGATCCGAAGAATCCACCCTGAGTGTGGATTTTATGGATTCATGATCCGTTTATGGATTTGCCAAAAAAACCGCGAAATCCGTTTTTGGATTCGGAAATCCGGATTTGGATTTTCCCAAAGCACCCGCGAAACTCAACCCACATATGGCGTCAAGGCCGGGATTTGAACCCAGGCCACATTGCTGGGAGGCGAGCACTCTCATCATTGCGCCATCCCTTGCTTCCCAAAACCAAAAACTTTAAATGGTTGACGATTATTGAGAATCGTTTTCGAGTTTAAAAGTTAAAGTAAATATAAACTTCTGCATAGATTGATATTAACTGTTGTGTTTTG